CAGTAATCAAGACAGTGTGATATTGGGATAATAGACAGAGACGAATGGAACCGAACTGAGTGTCCAGAAATAAACTCTCACATTATGGTCAAGTGATTTTCAACATGAGTATTAAGACAACTCACTTTGGGAAAAAATACGCTTTTCAACAAATGGGGCTAGGACAACTGAATATCCATGTGCAAAAGAATGAGATGGAATCACTATCTCATCATACCATATACAAAAATTTATACAGAATGGACCAAAAGTCTAAATGTAGAATTAAAATTATCTAACTTTTAGAAGAAAACATGATCTTGAACTAGTTAATTGTTTTGTACTTAAGAGACCGAAAGCACAAACAACAAAGGAAAAAATAAATTGGACTTCATCAAAACTCACAACTTTCTTGCTTCAAAGAATACTATAAAGAAAAAAAGAAAATAAGAAGACAATCTACAGACAGGAGAAAATATTTGCAAATAAAACATTTCACAGGGGCACCTGGGTGGCTCAGTGGGTTAAAGTCTCTGCTTTCGGCTCAGGTCATGGTCCCAGGGTTCCGGGATCGAGCCCCACATCGGGCTCTCTGCTCAGCAGGGAGCCTGCTTCCCTTCCTCTCTCTCTGCCTGCCTCTCTGCCTACATGTGATCTCTGTCTGTCAAATAAATAAAATCTTTAAAAAAAAAACAAAAAACAAAAACAAAAAAAAAACATTTCACAGGCGCCTAGTATCCAGAACATACAATTCTCAGAACTCAACTATAAAATGAAATTTAACTAAATTAAAAAGGTAAAGGATTTTGGGACACGTGGGTGACTCAGTGGATTAAGCATCTGCCTTTAGCTCAGGTCATGATCTAGGGTCCTGAGATGGATCCCTGTGTAGAGCCCTGTGTCAACTTCCTGCTCAGCAGAGGAGTCTACTTCCCCCTTGTCCTCTACCCCTCCCCCCACAGGTACACATGTGCTCTTTCACTCATTCTAATAAATAATATCTTTTAAAAAAGGAGGGGTAAGGATTTGAACACACATTTCTCCAAACAATATACACAAATGGCCAATAAACACATGAAAAGATGCTCAATAGCCATCATGGAAATGTAAATCAAAAACACCATAAATGCCTTAAACTTATGAGTAAGGAAAATTATGATTCAAGGTGATGCCCAAATTCTCATTGCTAATATGAGACAAATTTTTGAGTGGGTCAACTTATTCCCTAAGGCAACTTGCCTACTTTGTGAGATGCCTGGGAGTGGCCATCTGCCTGTCACCTTTTAAAGCTCAAAGAGCAGACTGGTATGAAGGTAATAAGTGGTATCTATACAACTGAATATTATTCAGCCGTAAAAAGGAATGAAGTACTATTAAATGCTAAAACCTTGAAAACATTATGTTAAGCAAAAAAAGCAAACACAAAGACCATATATTTTATGATTCCATTTATATGAAACATCTAGAATAGCCAAAGTCACTGAGATGGAAAGTGGATTAATGGTCAGGGGCAGAGAGTAAGAGGAAATGCTAAAGGATGCTAAAGGATGAAGATTTCTGTTTCTATTTTACCAATCTATTCCTTTTAAATAGTCTAATATTCAACCCCTGACGTCCCAATTTGTGAGCTCTGCCCAACCTTAACTGGCTAACTGAATCTGAGAGCTAGAACCTCTAGGCTAGTCTGGAAAGGAATTAATCTGAAAAAGAAGAGAAACCAGACTAGGGAAAAAAGAACTTTTTTTCTAAGTCGAGAAACTACAAACTATTACATCACCAACTACTCATTTTTACTGCAAACAAATGCATTACCTTGGGGGCGCCTGAGTGGCTCAGAGGGTTAAGCCGCTGCCTTCGGCTCAGGTCATGGTCTCAGGGTCCTGGGATCAAGCCCCGCATTGGGCTCTCTGCTTGGCGGGGAGCCTGCTTCCCCCTCTCTCTCTGCCTGCCTCTCTGCCTACTTGTGATCTCTCTCTGTGTCAAATAAATAAGTAAAATCTTTTAAAAAATTAAAAACAAAACAAAAAAACAAATGCATTACCTTCACTTTTACCGGGTCAAACACTAGCTAGCTATTAATATACCACTATTATTATAAAATAATGTCTTTTTTTTGAGTGGTCAGACAACGGAAGAATAATCGAAATAATCGAAATACGTTGCTACTACTATTGTGGATCCAGACCTCTAAAATAGAAGATAATTTCTCAATTCATCCTCCTACACTCAAAGGCATTCTTTTGGATACTGAAAATAAACATACACACATTTGGAAAATGTACTGCAATGAATAAGGAAAAGCAAATACTAGTACAAATTCCTACAATCTTTCTCTTTTAGACTATTTCATATTTTTTCAGTGTACCATCAACTCCTTTACTCCTTTGTAGTTGCCTAAAATCTAGCAAAGCACTATATATTTATTCAAATGGTTGCTCAGACCCAACATTTTTAAGAGCTTTAAAGAGATAGACTCATCAAACAGATGCATATTTTCCTTGAAGACATTTTACAATAAACGGCATTTTTATAAGCAGCAGTTTATTGTAAAAAGCAACTTGCCTCTAGAAGGTTCTAAAGACAATTGATGGAAAAGGAAAGGTGATTGGGAATCTCGAACCTAGTGTTCTAAAAGGATTCAGACAATGACAACAAAGTTTTGGTAACACAAATGTACCTATTCCTAGCTATTTTACATCAGTTTTGAGTGAAAAGGGAAAGAATAATGTTGTTAGGTAACGTAATTTAAGGATTTCCTTGTGTTTATTTGACATAAAATACCAAGAATGAATTTTATTTCCTTTCGTTCTTGTTTTCCCAAAATGTAACCTTTTTTTTTTTTTTAAAGATTTTATTTATTTATTTGACAGAGAGAGATCACAAGTAGGTAGAGAGGCAGGCAGAGAGAGAGAGGGAGAGGGAAGCAGGCTCCCTGCTGAGCAGAGAGCCCGATGCGGAACTCGATCCCAGGACCCTGAGATCATGACCTGAGCCGAAGGCAGCGGCTTAACCCACTGAGCCACCCAGGCACCCGCAAAATGTAACTTTTAAATAATTTTCTAATCTATCCCTTTTTAGTAGGTTAAAGACTAAGAATAAAGTACAGAATCTAAACCATCATCAAGATCATCTGGCCATTAGCAACAACATGGATAGAACTAGAGACAAACCAACCGAGAAAGAGATTCACAACTACAGAAAACAAATTGATGGTTATCAGAGGAGAGGTGGGTGGGGGGATGGGTTAAACAGGTGATGGGGATCAAGGAATGCACTTCTCATGAAGAGCAACGTGTACGGAATTAGTGAATCACTATACTGTACACTTGAAACTAACATAACACTGTATGTTAACTGGAATTAAAATTAAAACTTAAAAAAAGAGATCATCCGGGGGTTCATACCATATTTCTTAAGAATAAATTCTTACTGGGGCATCTGGGTGGCTCAGTCAGTTAAGCGTAGGCCTTTAGCTCAGGTCATGATCCTGGGGTCCTGGGATTGAGCCCTAAAATAGGGCTCCCTGCTCCACTGGGAGTCTGCTTCACCCTCTTCGTCTGCCTGCCACTCCCTCTGCTTGTGCACATGCTCTCTCTCACATGCATGCACGCACGTGCTCTCTCTCGCTCTCTTTGTCAAATAAATAAATTTTAAAACCCTAAAAAAAATAAATAAATAAATTCTTACTGACTTTGCACAGGTCATAATTTCTTTGATCCAATTTTATCACTTTTAAGGTTCCAATCAAAATTCAAATAATGTTTTAAGTTCTTCCATAAATTCTATGCTTCAAATTCATTTTTTCATGTAATCTTCCAATAATATCTTAAGTGTTATTTAATTTTATAAATAGATGATGTATCTACAGAAGTATTAAGTGAATAATATAGCTGATATCAGAACCCAGATATTCTGACTTTCTCCTCTATATCCCCCTATTTACTATCTTTTTAATACTCAACTTTCCTTGGGATTAATTACTATCTCCCACACTGGGCTGTTGTGGCAGGCCGTGCACTAAGCATTTTACATAGACAAAAATATTAGGTATTATTACCAATATATGACAACTGCTTCTCTTAAAATGTTCACTCCTTAAAAACTTCTCAGAGATAGTGAACAGAGGGGTACCCAGGTGGCTCAGTCTGTTAAGCAACTGCCTTTGGCTCAGGTCAAGATCCCAGGGTCCTGGGACAGAGCTCCATGTTAGGCTCTCTGCTCTCAGAGAGTCTGCTTCTCCCTCTCCCCCCCAATCATGCTCTTTCACTAGTAGGTAAGCACCTGCCTTTGGCTCAGGTCATGATCCCAGGGTCCTAGGATGAGCCCCACACTGGGCTCCCTGCTCAGCTGGGAGCCTGTTTCTTCCTCTGCCTACCCTCCCCCTGCTGGTGCACAAGTTCTCTCTCTCTCTGTGGCAAATAAATAAATAAAATCTTAAAAAATAAATAAATAAAATATTTTAAACAACAAGATGCTTGACTTGAAAACATTTCTTTTATTTACCCCTACTTAAAGACAGATTGCCCTACATGTAACAGTTTCATACAAAAAAGTTACAAAATTTTCCTTAATATGATAAATGATAAAAAAAAAAAACATTAAAATTCTCCACTTGAACAAGGTATGCAAGAATGTTTATGTTGTTCTTTTTTTGTTAAATGCTGAGAGCAAAATAACTTACCGGAATATAAAAAGCTGAATGAGCACGCCACTAATGGAGAAAGGAGGTATTTTCACAGAACCAGTCTATTTCCCAGAACCAGTCTATTTCCCCATTCCATCTCTGTCTGATGTCAATCGAAACATACCATCAGCCACTTAGCTAAAAAAATATACAATATGCTTATGCACATACACAGTTACTTTATATATGATTAAGTGATAGGGAAGGGGAAAATGAAAGAATCAAGAAAACTATACTGTAGTAGTCAAGATGTGGTGGAATCAAACTGCAGTTTTCTCATTGAGAATGTCTTGGTCTGGAGGAAGAGAGTTCTAGAGTATAGTAGCAAGTTCTCTTTTTAGTAGACTACTCCTGTCTGCTGCTTGATCCCATCAATTGTATCTTCATCCCCCATTTCCAGCTGTGCAGATGTGTCTGTTTCACTGAATGGCTCCCCATCAAATCGGAATCTGTTCTACCTCACTGACAAATCCTTCCTTTCACAATAGGCTTTCCATTAGTTTACTAAGTGATACATACCTCTTAGTAAGTTATTAAGTGATATATGCCACACTTAATCTTAAACTGCACCACAGAACCATCCTGCCACACCACCTTCAAATTGATAATGACCACTGTTCTCAGCCTTGTCTCCTTCCTTGGGCTTTTCATCAACATCAGAGAGTACCGGTCTCCTCAACTGCCACTTCACAAAGGAGATACCAGGTCCTCACTGAACCAGCTCACAAGCAGCACCAGGAGAGGCAGAAGGAGGCTACAGCAAGAGAGGGTCTATTTTTAACACGTCTTGACAACGTATGTCACCACCTTTTCCAAATTTCATATTTAATAGCCCATAAGTTAAGTAATTAATTCTCTCAAACTCATTCCATATGTTTCATAATTCAGTGTTTTTAACTCTGCTAATGACGGGTTTTACTATTATAAATATAAAATGTTTCATATAGACAAACTTATCAAGCATTTCTGTGATGATTTTTAACTCTGGTGTAAGTTTTGAGAGTGGTCTTTCCTATCCCAGTATATAAAATATATTTCCTTATTTCTTTCTCATTTTGTCCTGAAGATTTAAAACTATTTTGAATTTATTTTGTTATAAAACATTTATATATCACTTTTTATGCAGATGAACATTCTTTCTTCTTCATCTTTATCTAAACCACCATTTAATGAAGTGGTCACATGAGCTCCTTCAATAGCAAACAGAAGTCCTCCTTTTACAAAATTAATATCCTTTTTAAATGTAACTGTCCTTGACTATAAAGAAGATATGCAAGTCTTTCTTAAATAAAAAGAGCTAAATAAATAAATGGAGGCTCCTTGGAATATGAAGAATGGAGACCCTACCAATGTCAACCTCCTCTAAATTAAATCTACAGATTCAAGTCCATCCAAAAAAAGATCCTAACAAATATTATCTAGGGATTTACAAGCTGATTCCCAAATTCATATGGAAGAGCAAAAGGCCAAGACACTAAGAAATCTGTATTAGTCTCCTGTGGCTGCTATGACAAGTTAGGGGCACAAACTTGATGTTCTGTGCTCTATTTACTCACCTTCCCTATCTACAGTGTATTCTGTTAAACGGGGGTAGGGAAACACACCTTAAAGGTAACATGTTGTTGGGCTATCAGCCATAAGTTTTCTAAAAATTAGATGTACATAAGAGTCGAAGATTCTTTCAACAATGAGGGGAGATTATCTGATAATTTCTGCCATAATGTCATAAAAATTTTTCAGTTAATGTCCTGTTTTTTGTTTTTCTTTCTTACATAGTACAGACTTTAGGTTTTGAACCAATTTTCTGCACAGGTGCTAAAGACAACCCAAGGTCTCTTTCTGATCAGGTCTGGTGTCTCAACTGACTTTCAATGTTTTTCCTACCATTGTCAAATAAAAGGAAATTGCTCAAAAAAAGGCAACTTTTTTCTCCTCATACCTAACATATTCATTCTTAACCAACACGATACTTACTAAGCACTCATATGCCAAGCAATACGCAAAGTCTAGGAAACACAAAGACGACGCACCTCTGCCCTCAGGAAGGTAATTATGATATAATCAAGCAAATAAACACACTGTAATAAAATAATCAAATTACTAGAAGTAAATAACAAAGTCTAGGAAAAGCTCCTATGCCCTCTGATAGGGAAAGCTTCACCAAAGCTATGTACAGATTAAGCTTTCGGGTCTAAAAATGATGTGAGGACTACATGGTATAGTGAACATCATTAGCAAAAGTACAAGCATCACAGAAAGTGACTTCTGATTTAATATTGCTAAAATGTAAAATACCAGAGAGGGATAACAAGAAGTTAAAGATAATGTGGCAGACAAAGATACATTTCTGTTGGCATGCTTATTAGACTTTGAGATATCTGTGGGAAACCCTTACATCCATTTACCTTTTTCTACCACACTGTCAAAGACGAAAGTTTCATGTTTTAATAACTTGAACGATGATGATGCCATTGACAGAAATGCAAAAAAAAAAAAAAAAGGAAAAAAAATCACTTAGACTGTATAGATATTTGAAATCAGAAACAGATTTAACAAACATACTTATCCCTATTTCCTATTTTCCCAAAGGTCCATTATTATCACATGGGTCCTTCTAGAAGAAAAGATGTTAGCTAATATATGAACACACACACACACAAAGCCGTGACTGAATTTGGAAACCAAAAAAAAAAAATTTTTTTTTTAGCAAAAGTATGTTTTCTTTTTTTAAGACACTGAACACTGAACCCAATATAGCTCTTTTCACTTTAACTGCCAGGAAATCTAAGAACCAAATTTAATGCCTTTGAGCTTTAATCAGCTCATCCCTAGAACCTGATAATGTTTCCTTTCCTTAAGTAGTGGCTATTCAGTTGCCTGTTTTACCACTAATTGTTCTATTGCACATACTGCACATTTTATGCAGTCCCTTAGATGCAATAAAATCCTTAACAAAAATGAAATGTTGGGCTCCTGGATGGCTCAGTGGGTTAAGCCTCTGCCTTCGGCTCAGGTCATGATCCCAGGGTCCTGGGACTGAGTCCCCCATGGGGCTCTCTGCTCAGCAGGGAGCCTGCTTCCCCCCCCCCCCCCCCCCCCCCGCCTGCCTCTCTGCCTACTTGTGATCTCTGTCAAATAAATAAATAAAATCTTAAAAAAAAATGAAATGTTAATGCAGAGGTGGCTTACAGTATTTGAAACAGCTCATTTTAGTAAGCAAATTAATCAGTAACATTTATGTAAATATCTGATCAGTAAATCGCTTCTTTATAAATACACAAAGTATTTCAATTAGGTCAAATTAATTTTTCCAATCAGTAAGACTCACTAAAGAATATAAAGAGTATATACAAGAGGCACCTGGGTGGCTCAGTGGGTTAAAGCCTCTGCTTTTGGCTCAGGTCATCAGGCTCTCTGCTCAGCAGGGCGCCTGCTCCCCCACCCCCGTCTCTCTGCCTGCCTCTCTGCCTACTGGTGATCTCTGTCAAATAAATAAATAAAATCTTAAAAAAAAAAAAAAAAAGAAAAGAAAAGATAAGAAAGAAAAAAACTGAGGAATAAATTTAAGCAAGGAGGTAAAAAATCCATACACTAAAAACTACAGGACACTGATGAAAGAAACTGAAGAAGACACAAATAAATAGATTCCATACTCACAGATTGGAAGAGTTAATAGTTAAAATGTCCACACTACCCAAAGCAATCTAAAGATTCAATGCAATCCCTATTAAAATTCCAATGACATTTTCCACAAAAATATAAAAAACAATCCTAAAATTTGTATGAAACCAAAAAGGACCTCAAGCAACCAAAGCAATCTGGAGAAAGAACAAAGCTGGAGGCATCACACTCCCTGATTTCAAACTCAATTACAAAGCTAAAGTAATCAAAACAGTACGGTATTTGCACAAAAACAGATACAGGGGCACCTGAGTGGCTCAGATGGTTAGGCATCTGCCTTCGGCTCAGGTCAGGATCCCAGAGTCCTGGGATCCAGCCTTGCATCTGGCTTCCCTGCTCAGCTAGGAGTCCGCTTCTCCCTCTCTCTCTCTCCCTACTGTCCACCCTGCTTGTGCTCTCTCACTCTCTCTCTGTCATATAAATAATTAAAATCTTTAAAAAGAAAAAAAAAAAACAGATACAATAAATTGATGGAGAACTAAGGGAAATAAACCAACACATAAACAGTCAATTAATTTACAACAAAGGAGCCAAGAATACACAATAGGAAAAAGATAGTATCTTCAATAAATGATGTTGGGGAAACTGGACAGCCACATACGAAAAGAATGAAATTGGACCCCTATGCTACAACATATACAAAAATTAATTAAAAGTAAACTAAAGACTTGGACACCTGGGTGGCTCAGTGGGTTAAGCTGCTGCCTTCGGCTCAGGTCGTCATCCCAGGGTCCTGGGATGGAGTCCCACTTTGTGCTCCTTGCTCGGCAGGGAGCCTGCTTCTCTCTCCGACTCTGCCTGCTTGTGTGCTCTCTCCTCCTCTCTGACAAATAAATAAATAAAATCTTAAAAAAAAAAAAAAGTAAACTAAAGACTTAAACTAAGACCTGAAACCACAAAACTCCTAGAAAAGCACATAATTGGTAAGTTCCTTGACACTGGTCTTGATGACTGTTTGGATTTCACAACAAAAATAAAGGCAATAAAAGCAACAATACATCTGATCTTAGCCAAAAGGTGGAGAAACGATACTAAAAGCAAAAATAACCAAATTACATCAAACTAAAAGGCTTCTGCACAGCAAAGCATCAATGGAATGAAAAAGCAACCCTCAGAATGGAGAAAATATCTGCAAATCATGTATCTGATAAGAGGTTAATATCCAAAATACATAAAGAACTCATACAACTCAATTACAAAACAACAAACAACCCAATTTAAAAATGGACAGAAGATCTGAACACATTTTTCCAAAGACATAGCGACAGCCAACAGGTACACGAAATGGTGCTCACCATCACTAATCAGGGAAATGCAAATAAAAAACACAGTGAGATACCATCTCACACCTGTTAGAATGTCTATTATCAAAAAGAATTAATATTGGCAAGGATGTGAAGAAAAGGGAACCCTTGTACATTGTTGGTGGGAATCTAAATTGGCACAGCCATTGTGGAAAACAGTTGGGACAGTTCAAAAAATTAAAAACAGAACTACCATATGATCTAGCAATTCCACTTTTGGGTATGTATGTGAAGGAAATGAAATCACTACCTCAAAGAGATATCTGTATACCCTCATTCACTACAGCATTATTTATAATAGCCAAGACGTGGAAATGACTGAAGTTATTCCAATGGATGAATTGATAAAGAAAATGTAATGTGTGTGCACGTATGTATACATGCACATGCACGTACATCCTACACTTATATAGACAATGGAATATTACTCAGCCACACAAAAAAAGAAAAAGAAAATCCCTTTTTTCATTTGCTACATATATTAAGTGAAATGGCAGAGAAAGACAAATACTCTATGACTTCCTTTATACATGAAATTTAAAAGAAAAGTTCATAGAAACCTAACAGAATGGGGGTTGCCAGAAGCAAGAGGTGGGGAAAATGGGTGAAGGTGGTCAAAAGGTATAAACTTAAACTTACAAGACAAGTTCTGGGTATATAACAAAGAGCATAATAACAAAACAAAACAAAAGAAAGGACATGATCCAAACATTTTAATTAAAAGGCCTATTTCCAAAGCAAAGAATATCACCAGGGAGAAAGATCATTTCATAATGATGAAAGAATCAATTTAGGGGTGCCTGGGTGACTCAGTCCATTAAGAATTTGCCTTTGGCTCAGGTCATGATCTCTGGGTACTGGGACTAAGCCTTGCTTTGGACTTCCTGCTCAGTGGGGAGTCTGCTTCTCCCTCCCCCTGCTTGTGTGTGCGTGCACCTACACTCTCTTTCTCCCTCTCAAATAAATAAAATCTTAAAAAAAAAAAAAAAAAAAAAGAATTTATCAAGGAGAAAGAATAATCCTAAATGTTCTTGCACCTAATAATAGAAGTTTAAAATACATGAAACAAAATCTGATAGAACCGCAAAAAGAAACAGACAAACCCACAATTACAATCAGAACCTTCAGCACTCTCAATATTGATAAAAGCAAGTAGACAGCAATTCAGCAAGGATACAGAAGTCTTTTAATAACACTATCAAACAAATTGTCCTAATTGACATCTTTAGAGCATTCAACCCAAGAAAAGAATATATATTGTTTTCAAGTGCAAATGGAACATGGATCAAGTTACAATATATGTGGAACTATCAATTTTAAAGAAATCAAGTCATGAAACATGTTGCCTGACTGTAATGCAACTAAGTTAGAAATCAATAATAGAAAGATAACAGAGTAATCCGCAAATATTTGAAGCTAAAGAACACAATCGTAACTAACCAACGGATCAAAGAAACCAGAAAGGCAAGGTAAAATGTAAATACAAAAAAATACCATAATTTGTGGGATGCTACTTAGGAAAGATTTACATCACCAAATGCCTATAGTGAAAAGAAAAAGGGTCTCAAATCAGTAATCTAGATTTACATTTTTAAAAAACTAGAAAAAGAGCATATTAAACTAAAACTAAGCAAAAAAAAAAAAAAAAAAAAAAGAAAGAAAGAAAAGAAATAATCAAGCTATCAAAGCAGAGATCAATGAAATATGAATGGAAAAACAGAAACTCAGTAAAGCCACAAGCTGGTTCTTTTATTTATTTTTAAAAGATTGTATTTATTTATTTGACAGAAAGAGACACAGCAAGAGAGGGAACACAAACAGGGGTGCGAGAGGGAGAAGCAAGTTTCCCACTGAGCAGGGAACTGGAGGCAGTTCTCACCCCAGGACCCTGGGATCATGACCTGAGCTGAAGGCAGATGTTTAACAAATGAGCCACCCAGGTGCCCCAAGCTGGTTCTTAATAGATTAATAAAAGTATAAGTCTCTAGTCAGTTTGATCAGGAAAAGACAAATTATCAATATCAAGTTTAAGAGAGGTGACAACACCACAGATTCTACAAACATCAAAAGGATAATAAGGGAGTTTTACAAACCACTCTATTCCTATAAATTTGACAACTTATACCAAATAAAACTTCCTTGAAAAAAACAAACTACCAATGCTCCCTCAAGAAGAAACAGATAACATGAATAGCTGTCTTTCCAATAAAGTAGTTAAAAAACACTGCTTCAGGGGCGCCTGGGTGGCTCAGTGGGTTAAGCCTCTGCCTTCGGCTCAGGTCATGATCTCAGGGTCCTGGGATTGAGCCCCGCATCGGGCTCTCTGCTTGGCGGGGGGCCTGCTTCCCTCTCTTTCTCTGCCTGCCTCTCTGCCTACTTGTGATCTCTCTCTGTCAAATAAATAAATAAAATCTCTAAAAAAAAAAAAAAAAGTACTGCTTCAAAGAAAACTGCAGTTGCAGATGGCTTCACTGGTGAATTACACCA